AAAAACTGAGGCAAGAGGATCGCTTGAGCCCAAGAGTTGGAGGTTGCTATAAGCTATGACGCCATGGCACTCTACCCAGGGTAACAGCTTGAGACTCTGCCTCAAAAAAAGAAAATAATAATAATAATAATAATAGTTGTTTCTGGGTAGTGGGATTATGGACTTATTTTTCTGAGTTTCTATTTTTGTCTGTACTTTCTAAATTCTCTCTAACAAATATGTAATACTTTATAATTAGAGAAGAGTAAAATTAATTTTTAAATAATAAGAATAATTATTCTATTGTTTACATCACAGGGGAGGATATAACAGAAAGCTATTTAAAGAAATATAGCAAATATTATTAATAGAGAGAAGCCATTTGAATCGAACAATGAAGTTACCAAACTAGCAATAGCACTAACATACTCAACTAACCATCCTGGGTATCAGGGATAACCAGTTCCCTAATGTGGAAGAAGGGTGGTTACAACTAAAATGGCATGTTAGTAGACATGCTCAGTTAGTTCCCTTCCTTCCTTCAAATTCTATCTTAGATGTCATGTTAAATATGGTGGTTAAAAGCGGTGGTGATCTGGGCAAAGTAGGTAGTAGAAGCATCCACTAGCTCTTCCCTTTCTAGACAGTCCCCCTGGAGGCCCTGGAGGCTATGAGGAGCACACACATTTCAAAACACTCCCTTGCTTTACACATGGACCTTGCCCACTGTTCTGGAATCCAATAAAGGACAAGCCTTGGATCCAAGAATCTTTCGAACATGTCATACTTCTTTCACAGGGTCAAGGTCATGGTCTGTGGGCTCAGGATAAAGGGTTGACATTTCTTACATATGACTACTCATCATCCATAAATACTGTAAACTGTACAAATCTGAGTGAGGTAGCTGGAAATATACATTTAATCTGTATTCACCTGATAATGGTCAAATGGAAGAGTATTAATTACCAGTCTTCCCTTAAGTGGGTAAAAACAGCATGCTGTTGGTGCCAACAGAAACAACTCACCCACAGAGGAATTTATCAATTTCTAGAGCAAAGACAAAGGAAGACAAAGAACCTCCTTCCAGATTGATCTAAAGACAAGTGGTACATAACTCCATTCCTGCCAGGTTAATAAAGAACCTACTGGCTTGGTGCCTGTGGCTCAAGTGGCTAAGGTGCCAGCCACATACACCTAAGGTGGCGGGCTCGAATCCAGCCCAGCCCGCCAAACAACAATGATGGCTGCAACCAAAAAAAATGCCAGGCGTTGTGGCAGGCGCCTGTGGTCCCAGCTACTTGGGAGGCAGAGGCAGGAAACTCGCTTAAGCCCAGGAGTTGGAGGTTGCTGTGAGCTGCAATGCCATGGCACTCTACCCAGGGGGGACAGCTTGAGGCTCTGTCTCAAAAAAAAAAAAAAAAAAAAAAACAAACCTACTGGCAGAGATTGCCCCTACCCACTTTCCCCTTCTTCCTTAGTTACAGACCCCTGATTTAATTCAAGCTGTCCAGCTAGAAGACTACATTTCAGCTTCTCCTGCAGACAGTACTGGCCAATGAAATGTAAACAGTCATTGAGTAGGATTTGGGGGAAAGCTCTTTAAAGGGACATAGCTGTTAGCCTTTTGTTTCCTTTCTGCTCTCCTTTGCAGGGCCTGGAACTTGGGACATCATGGCTGCAGTTCCAGAATCTATCTTGGCATTTTGAGAATGAAAGATTTATACTGAGAATGACAGAGCCAAGAGAGAGAAAGGGTCTCAGTGCCTGGTAACTTCATGATGAAGTCATCAAAATACCCCTGAACTGCCTCCTTCTGGCCTTCTAATGTGGGAGAATAAACCATTACATACAAATTTACAGTAATTAGGTACCCAAACACTGTTCCCAATCCATTCAGACCTTGGCCTCATTGGCAGAAGCAACAGAAACCCTGAAGAGGCAATTAGGGAAGGTGGTGACTCCAGAAAAGGAAGTCATGTCTTCCCCCACTCCATGCCAGATTTTCCAGAATAATTCCAGAGCAAGTTAGTGGAGGACAAGCACACACAAGTTAATATCGGATGACTAGATGAACTTATCAAAGTCTGGCAGAAAGAATAAGCCTGTGAAAGCAGAAAGTGTCAGCAAGACCAGTTCAGCAACCCCACGTGGCTTCCTCCATTGCATCTGACCAGGAGAGGGGCCCCTTTTTGTACCTCTTCCAGGTTGCAGAATTCCTGACGCAGGGCTACCTTCAGATTAGTGCAATCTCTCCCATATCTCAAGGCTACCAGACACTCCTTGGTCAATTGCGGGACCTAATCAGAGGACACAGATTCTCAGTGGAGAAGTCTGTAGGAACTTCTTGTTCCAGCTCTGCCTAAAAATGCAGAGTAGCTTTGTAATTCAACTATAACAGGCCAACACCCACATACAGACTTTCCAGCTCCCTGTGATGGGTGCTAGATTTCATCTGTGGTTCCAAGAATCTACTTCCCACAGCACCCTGATGAAAGAAGGTGATTTAATAGGGCTTCTCCAGTGCTCTTAACTTGATCAGCTGGCCCAATGGTGTATACATTCTTAGGTGGACACTTAACCTCTCTAAGCCTCAGTGTTCTCATCTGAAAATGGATACAATAACAGTATCCACCTCAAAGGCACTTGTAGGATTAAATGAGTTAGGACAAGGACTACATTGTTCCTCTTAAAGTAGTTAGGACAAGGCTTGGCACATCATGAGTGCTCAGTATATGTCAGCTATTAATATAGAGTTATTTTTACTTCTTTTCGAAGGGATCTATCTTAAAATTTCTTTATCCCCTTTTCTCCCATTATCACTAGCTGTCCTCTTTTCTCTTTTCTTCACATTTCCTGGACAGCACTTTTGCCCCTTTCGGTTCTTTCAATATTCCTATTTCAAGTCACACTGTCATTTGACATGTCATGACCATACCTCCTGTGACTGCTAGTTGAAATGGAAAAACACCCTAGCAGTTAAGCCTTTAACTTTTAATGTCAGTAGCTAATACTGGGCATAGTGGCTCATACTTGTAATCCCAGCATTTCGGGAGGCTGAGGCAGGAGGATTGCTTGCGGCCAGTGGATCAAGACCAGCCTGGGCAATATAGTGAAACTCTGTCTCTACAAAAAAAATTTGTTTAATTAGCCAGGTGTGCTAGCAGGCACCTGTAGTCCTAACTACACAGGAGGCTCAGGCAGGAGGATCACTTGAACCTGGGAGTTGGAGGCTGCAGTGAGTGGTGATTGTACTGCTATGCTCCTGCCTGGGCAACAACGGGAGACCCTGTCCCTAACCTCAGAAATAATAATAATAGCAGTGGTCATATCTTACCCTAATTTCATGCTAGTTATCCTCCTGAGACGCATGTGGTATTAAAACGAAACAATTACACTTTAAAGTGGGCTGATATTTGGGAAAGACATACAAGTAAAATGGAGTCTAAGTGACTTTTTAAAATGAACATACCTTACAGAATAGCTCCAATAACATCTTTTGGCGAGCTCGTTCATAAGGGTCATTTGGAAACAGCTTCCTTCCAGGATAAGCGTCATCCAGGTACTCACAAGCAACAATAGATTCATAGATTAGTTGACATCTACTGTTCTCCAGGACAGGAATTCTGCCAAAAGGGTGCTTTGTATAGTACCATTCAGGCTTGTTTCGCAGGTTAATGTTGATAATTTCATGTCTTAAAAGCAGAAAGAAAATGAGACCAAACAAAAATGAGAGGTGTGTGCAGGCAGATGCTCTTCTTGAGAGCAAAAACAATTTATAAAGTTAAAATGTGCATTTAGTTTTTTAAAGTTTAAGTTTTGTATAAAATATGAAGCATCACCGTCTTCATTCCTACAATAAGATGGGTTCTGTAATAATAAGGCTCATCTCAGGTTGGGCCTTATTAGGTCTAGGTCTAGGTCAGTTATTCCCCTGACTCCCCATGAGGTAGGTCTACCTCATAGGAAATAAGGCTCCAGGAGGTTGAATCTCCCACACAGGTAGCAAAGCTAAGGTCAGAGCCAGGTGGGCATTAGAGAATTTAGTACATTTTAAAGCTTGAAAATACACATTTGGCATCTGGTACTAACAGGAACCAAGGCTCGGCACTTGTGGCCCACATACACCTAAGGTGGTGGGTTCAAATCTAGCCCGGGCCTACCAAACAACAATGACGACTGCAACCAAAAAAATAGCCGGGCGTTGTGGCGGGC